CTGACGAACGTAACACTTTAAAACTCTGATTTATTATCCCCTTCTCTTCCTCTTCTTCTTACAATGACTTCTGTGGAAAGTTTTTATGATTTGAGAAATCCCATTTCAGAACTCACTAACGAGTTCAGACATGTCGCGGTTGATGCCGTTTTCAGGTGTGGACAACGGAGTTCCGGATATAAAAGCCTTGAAAAGCGCAAGAGCCTCCTTCGGTCTGTGCAATGGAACTTCATGGCCTGCACCTCTCACTGTCACAAAGTTTAGACCAGCATATTGCTGAGTCCAGCCTCCCACCTGTTTCAAGCATGACAACAGTTAAAAAAAGGTTTCACAACATAGACGACAAGATTCTCACCTTCTTGGTTTTGTTTGTTTGTTTGTACCTGTCCGTCTATGTACCAAGGACCATAGGGACTCAATGGACGAAGGTTTAGCGCATCTATGCTGTACCGGGTTGATGTAACTGGTACAACAGCATCTGCGTCTCCACTGTTACCAAAGAATCAATATTTTTAACCACCAAAACGCCAAAAGAACTTGAAGAAGAGATATCACTAAATATAGAGAAGAAGACCTGAAAACCCAAATACGTAGCCCGGCAGCGATAAGCTCGTGGTAAATGTTTAGAACTGAGGAAGGACAGTCATTCCAGTGTTCATTAACAACATCACTGCAAAACCAAAGTTGTCCGGATCAGAATTGTTACAAAGCCTTAAGCTTTTATTGGCTCATTTCTTCCAAACACTGAGTTCTACGATATCGTCAGGTGAATTTTACCTGCAAGTATCCCATTTGGATGGTGCAAGTCCTGGTGGGACATGGAGGGCTTTTTGAACCTCTGGAAGATTGAAATACACTTTAGAGTGTTTTTCCGTGCAAGGATCATACTGTTCGCTCACACGGCTAGTCATCTAAGCAAAACAAATGATGAGATTACTTTGAAACCCGCTATCATCTCGATAAAAAATGAGAGAGTTTAAGGCCACTTACTGGTCTTTTCTTTAGCAACATTTTTGACTGGGAAGCATTCGCTACACAGGCCGGGGTGAAGACACTGTATTGATCTATGTTACCTATTTCCTTGTCCGCTATCTCGAGAACCTTATTACACGCTTTAGAGGAGTGGATAAACGGTTCAAAACCACACTGAAGTTTCAGTAAGGTGTATGTTTGGTCTGAGATAAAACCCAACGACCAAATATACTGGAAAAGACCAAGCCTGTCATGGAAATCATCCATCAGCCCATTTCCTACCTGCAAACACACATTCATGGAAATCTTTTTAGAGTTTGAGAATCTTTCAGATAGTGAAACTCACTGGTACCGATAAGAGGACAGACTCACCATGTAACCCTTCAGGTTAATAGTGTTTTCGTCAGAACCTCGGTTATGTTTTACAATGGCTTCGCTCAGCTGAGGAATGTAGTGGCCTAGAACAAGCCAGATAATAAAGCATGAGCTTTTACGGTCAAAATAACAGATTTAAGAGTAAGATGAGCTTCAATCTTTTTACCTGCATAGCTCTCCCCAACTATGTAAAACTCCCTTCCTTTGTACTCCGGAAACCGCTCAACCCAATTGAGCAGAAACTTCAGCGAGTCTTGTGCTGTACAAATCACAACGCCGCAACTATAAACCCACACACCAACAAGAGGTTCTAAGAAAATACAATGAGCTTAAGCAGCTACCAGTTCTCTTATCTCCATTGCTAAGCAAATCAGAGGAGGTGTTTGAGTATGAATAACCAACTCCAACAGGTGCATCAAGGAACAAAATATTCGCAACTGCCAAAAAAAGTCAAACAAAAGTTTAAACCTCTTTCTTGAATCATAGCTCTGATTTCTAAAAATCTCTGCAACAACATCTCACACTATTATCACCTTGGTTCCAAGAATATTGATTAAGGTAAAGAGTCTTCCCATCTGACTTAATGTGAAATGGTCCTATCTCTTCTGCTTCACCAAATGCAACTGATGAACATCCTGGTCCTATAGAGACAGAGAGAAGTAAAAAAACAAAAAAAAAACTCCATCTCAGACGCGGATTAATCGATACCAGATAAATTGCTTTGAAGATCCATTCATTCTTTAAATAATGATAAAAAAGTATAAGCTTTTCACAATAATCCCAATTTAGATTCCATCAAACAACATCGTACCATAACAATCTAACTGATCCCAAAAGGAGAAATCACGTGTTTATCATGCTAAAGCAACAACAAAATCGGAAAGAAGCAACAAGACAAATCCCAAAAAGTCAAAATCAAGATCCATTATAACAGTAACGCATAGTGATCGAAACAGAGTTAATGAATTGAAAATCCATTGAAGCACAATTGATTAAGAAGAAGAAAAAAAAAGGGTACAAATCTTTTGGGATTTTTGGTGAGTAACAAACCTCCATTGAGCCAGAGAACAAGAGGCTTAGAGGTAGGATCTTCCACGGCTTCAAAGAACCAGTAAAAGAGTGCTCTTCCTAATTTCTCATTAGTAGTAACGAATCCAGAGTAGTGAGCAAAGCTAACATTGAAATCTTGACCAGGTAACTTCGAGACCTTGTCCTGTTCTTTCTGAGACAAGACAGCTTCACAGTTACTTAAATGGGCGGTCGCCAAAATAGCGATGGCGAATAGAGCGTTGACGAGACAAGACTCTCTGGGTTTAGCCATTGTTGGTTGACTCTAAAGAACTAAACTTCACAAGCAATAATGGAGATCCTTTTTTGCATTTAAAGAGAGACCGAAGAAGCATGTGGGTGATGACGTCAGAAGCTAAACCCAACGAACCCAAAAGATTCGGACTTTTTGATTTCACTCATCGTGCGTGGTCTTCCTAACTAACCACTTTCTTTTCAAGGACTTAAGGGCGTGTTTGGTAATATTGGTTAACCTGTTTAAGTATTGGGTGCCGGTCCAATGTTTTCGAAGACATACGTTAATATTTAGAGAAAAAAATGTGTCCTTTTTCATGTGTGTTTCGTGATATCGAATAAATTGTGTTCTGTTGTAAATAGAGAGAAAGAGAATGGAGAAATTCGTATAAAGGAAATTACTTTCTTTTTCCTAAAGAGAAAAGGAAATTACCTTATGACTAAGTATAGATGGACCGGACCGGGCTATACTGGACCAGAACTGGTTATGACAATCCACTATGATTTATAACA